GCGAAACGAAGATAAGGGCGATCCTCGTGCGCACGATCAAACAGTTGATATTCGTTCACCCGCGCACCGTTACCCTCGATCAAACGCACATGAGGATGTTCCAGATTGCAAATAAGCGGACGATCCATATTCAATCATGCACAGACAGCCCATATCGCATCGCGAGAACCGGTCCAGATTCATTTCAAATTTAATTAAGATCAGACGACCCAGTTTAAATCGTGATGGACAGTTCAGATTTGATGGGGAAGTTTATAAATAATCTCATCCACACCCAACCCCAAACCCTAGCCGCCAGAGCCCTCGTCGGAGAAGACAGCCCAGTCACTAGAGGACCTGACCCCCGCCGCCGCACCGGAGCACTTTCTGGCCCCCAAACGAGGTAAAATTTCTCCCCTTGGCTCATATTTCGATGTTGAACCCCCCTGTTCCTAAATCGGAGCCAAATCACCGGCCAATTAGCCGAAGCCGAAAAACGCCGCCGAAAAATGCCGTCGCGAGTTTTCTCAGTTTTTGCCTCCGATGAGGCCCTTTCCGATTCCCATTCTATGTAATTTTTACACCACTGTGACCACCGTCCTTTCCTCTACAAGTTGACCGGAACAAAACGCCAAATCGCGACTCACGTCGAAGGAGCCGCCGCACCCGAGAGCTCCGTTGCCGGTAAGTCTCAGTGTTCTGTATTTTTTGGCCCACCGAGAGCCCTACGTGTGTTTCCTCACAGGAAATGATGCTAGTTTGGCTGAATTCGGTCAGAAACGGCCGAAAACAGCCAACCCAAGGCGGATAGCCGCTGTGGACAGCGGTGCCGTCGCCAGAGCACGACGGAGCCGCCGTGCCGGAATTTCAAAATTGGCCGAGGAGACCCTGCGTCTGATTTGGAGTTTTTTGGGGACATGTGCAGGTACCGGAAGTGTGTTTCAGTTCCCGAAAAAAAATTTATGGAATCTAGGGACTGCCCGTATGCACAATGAAAAATCGATTTTAGACTTTGAATCAAGTAAGGATCTCTTACCCTATTTTTTATCACGATATTAAAGTCTAATAAATGATAAAACGGTATTTTATGAATTTATGGATATGTATAATTAATTAAGGTTTTTAATGGAGCACGAATCTGATATGCTTTTCGGTCAGTTCTTGTTTGATTTATTTTACAGTCTAAATGCAGTGTAGTATCTGATTTGTTTATTCTGTGGCTTCGTATGCATGATTCATTGTTTAATTTATTATGGTTTAATTATTGTGAATCCGATGTTATGTTTGCCTTGTTTGGTGTTCGTTATTGGTTTACGTATTCATGTTTGATTGGGTAATTGAGACTAAGAACAAATAGGAATGGGATTGAGTTGATAAATGGATAGGTTAACAGCCTCACTAGACATCCTGATAGATGGTGGACGGACTGGGTCCATTGAGGACCTTACCGGGAATATTGTCTCTCATATCGTACAGGGTATGAAGACTTTAAATATTTTGGCGCTCATACCGGACGGGGTATGGGGACAACCCGCTTCACCCTCATACTGGACGGGGTATTGAGGTTTATTATTTTGGCACCCATACCGGACGGGGTATGGGGATGGTCTTGGAATTAAGTTGTTAAAAATGAATGGTTCACGTGTGGCGGAAACCCCTATGGATCTACATGGATACTGGTAGGCTGGTAAAAGAGGAAATTTATTGCTTGATGATTGAAATATTAAAAGTATGACATGTGTTATGTTACAGAGTGCGTATGATTTCATGATATTATAATATTATTATTTTCATAAGTTGTTTTCATGAATCTTACCGAGATAAGTGGACGGTAAAAGATTTTATTATTGATAAATAAATATACTTGAAAATTTTACTCCATTGGTCGTTTTTGTTTTCTACCAACCTTTACTTCTGTGACAGTGAGATAGTGTGACATTTTTACTGGGTTAGTGTAGCTCATTCCTTACTTAACCATTTCATATTAGGAGGATTTGGTTCCCGAATCCGTTCCGCAGGAAGACGGCGAGTAGATGCTTAAAGATTTTATAGTTTTCTTTATAGTATTCATTTCTATTATTTATTTTAATTAGTTTATTCTTACATACGTTTAATTCGTTTTGGTTATTGTGTAAAGAATATTAATCATAATATTTTATTTCGTTTCCGCACTTATAATTTTATATATGTGTTCCCTTTTAATTTTTGGGATCATTACAACCCAACTCGAAGGAGTTAAATTTCACCAAATCAAGACATAAAATAAAATGTGAGCATGGACTAAAAAGGTTTAGTACGTAATTATATTTAATGAGAAGGTTAATGCACCTTCATCACGTGCTTCTTTTCTTTGGTCAAGCGAATTGATTGACCACAACCATTCAATTCATCTCCTATGACCAACAAAGTCAAATCACACAGGCCACCCGCTCGTAATATAAGAAGAAAAAAAAAAACTATATGTTCTTTTTTCTCCTTAATAAATAATTATTTTTTGCATATAAACTAAAGTAATAGAAATTAGACACTTTTTAAATTAATTGGCACGTGCGAATTGTACAAGGAGTAACCCTCGGTTTGCACAATTTCTTCATCATCTCTTTATGCTACTTGAAATATGTATTATATACATGTATTTTATCTTTCACATGGGTTTTCCAAGAATTTAAATTTTTTTTATTTTAAAAAAGTTATTATCCTTTAATTAAAAAATATATATAAATTTACAAAAATTTCTTTTAATTTTTTTAATTATCATTAATTAGATTTAGAATATATTTATAAATTTATATTTATTTTAATTTAAAAATAACTTTTACTAACCATGACATCACCTTATTTTACTAGAACTCCTCCTCCCCCCGTCAATTAGATTCACACGAAGAACGTCCAAACAGATCAACGGCTCTACTTTTCCCACGTGTCCTTTACACCACCAGGTCTGGCACACGCAAACTGACCATCTAGTTGTCAACAATTTTCCTTCCTTCCTCCTTCCTCCGCCTCCTCTCCTCTGCTATAAAATCCTTCCTTCTCTTCGTCTTCTCCATTCATACTCATTTCTATTCATCCAAACAACATTCACAGCCCCCTACAAGAAAAAAAAAAAACCGTTCTTATCATTTTCTTTCTTTGAAATATTCATATTGATTAATTCTTTCTTCAGTTACATTGTTTTCTTGTTAATAGAGAGATTTTAGGAAAACAATTAAGATATGGAGAAGCTGACCTTGACAGGCTTGTTGAAGAAGACTGCAACTGACTTCCCCAACAATCGAGCTCTCTCTGTCTCTGGAAAGCTCGATCTCACTCACTCTCAACTCCAACAACTCATTGATGAAGCCGCCTCTCTCCTCGTCGCCTCTGGAATTAACCCCGGCGATGTCGTCGCTCTCTCCTTCCCCAACACCGTTGAGGTCTGCATTTGCACCTCTGCACTACGTGTTCATGGATGATTGCTTCAATTTTCTATCAAAACAAAACCTGATTTTCGATTTTTCTTGTTCTTTTGCAGTTCGTGGTTATGTTTTTGGCAGTGATTCGGTGCCGAGCTGTAGCCGCTCCTTTGAACTCGGCTTACACAGACGAAGAATTCGAGTTTTACCTCTCGGACTCGGAGTCCAAGCTTCTCATCGTGCCGCAGGAGGGAATCAAATCGGCTCAAGCCGCCGCTTCCCGGCTCAACATTCCTCACGTAACCGCCACGCTCTCCGTTTCCGATATACCTAAAATAGTTCTCTCTTCAAAACCCGACTCCTCGCCTGAATCGGTCGCGGCCCTCGTTAACGATCCGTCTGACGTTGCTCTCTTCCTCCACACCTCTGGCACAACCAGCCGCCCCAAGGGAGTTCCCTTGACTCAGCTCAATCTCGCCGCCTCCGTTTCCAACATCAAATCGGTGTACAAGTTTACTGAGTCCGATTCCACCGTCATCGTGCTCCCGTTATTCCATGTACACGGACTGATGACCGCGTTGCTCAGCTCTCTCCTCGCCGGCGGCGCCGTGGCTCTCCCCGCTGCCGGGAGATTCTCGGCTTCAACGTTCTGGGCCGACATGATTGCGTACAAGGCCACGTGGTACACCGCGGTCCCCACAATCCACCAGATAATACTGGAGCGCCACTGCAGCAAGCCCGAACCGGCTTACCCTAAGCTACGCTTCATAAGGAGCTGTAGCGCGTCGTTAGCGCCGTCGATATTGAGTCGGCTGGAGGACACGTTCGGAGCGCCGGTGCTGGAGGCCTACGCAATGACGGAGGCGAGTCACCTGATGGCTTCAAACCCGTTGCCGGCGGATGGGGTCCATAAAGCAGGATCAGTTGGGAAGCCGGTAGGTCAAGAGATGGCTATTCTAAATGAGCAGGGCATTATCCAAGGTGTAGGTGAAAAAGGAGAGGTGTGCATCAGAGGATTAAACGTGACAAAGGGTTATAAGAACAACCCTGAAGCTAACAAGGCTGCTTTTCAATTTGGTTGGTTTCACACGGGAGATGTTGGGTTCTTTGATTCGGATGGGTATTTGCATCTTGTGGGTCGTATTAAGGAACTCATCAATCGAGGAGGTGTGTTATTTTCTTCCTCCATGTTGTTGGTATGTCAATTGGAAGTACATCAATGTATAGTGTTTGGTTGCTTACTTTTGGGTTCTTTTTCTGTAATTACAGGGGAGAAGATATCACCAATTGAAGTAGATGCTGTGCTTTTGTCTCACCCTGGCGTTGCCCAAGCAGTCGCGTTTGGAGTTCCTGATGAAAAATATGGGGAGGAGGTGAGAAACATAAAACTATTTCTTCCTAATCTTAAACCCAGTACATTATTGTTTTCATCATTGACCTTTTTCCCTTGAAAATGCAGATAAACTGCGCTGTAATTCCAAGGGAAGGAAGCGATATAAAAGAGGAAGATGTATTGGTCTTCTGCAAGAAGAATCTGGCAAGTTTCAAGGTCCCAAAGAAGGTTTTTATCACTGACTCTGTACCCAAAACTGCTACAGGAAAGATTCAGCGTCGCATAGTTGCGGAGCATTTCCTAGCTCAAATTTCCATGGCCAAAGTTCCAAAATTTGGGGCTTAGTCAATCAGATTCAAGATTCTTTCTCTACCTTAAAAAAACAATATAAGATAATTTCTTCATGTGTTTAGGATGGACAGAGAGTGTAGTTACGGTTAGTAAAAATCGAATTCATCTTTTCCTCCTTTAGCATGGAATAAAGAAATTTTGATTTGCCTTTTTCTTTTTGTTTTTTTTAATTGTTGGTGCTTTTACTTGGGAAGTCGCCGGTAGGAAAAAAGGGCATTGAATTTGTTGTACACCACGGGAGGTTGGCTTACGACTGGTAAGTATCTCTAACGTGTTGAGTTTGAAGCCATCGTTTGTGACCACTACTACGAAGCGTATCTCTCAACGTGGGGCCTGAGATGAACTTCAGCTTTTTCAGGCTAAAATTCATCCGGCGCCCAACACAAGCAAAATTTTAGGCGAAATATGATTGCAACAACTAATTTACTATTCTTTGGATTTTCAACTTTCAGTTTTCTGTACTTATAGTTAAGGGTTTCATAATTTGGTTCGGATTGGATCTAATCATCGACGTTTAGTTTAATTTTTCGTCCTCAGTTCAACAAATCAGAAAATTTTGATCATTTCCCGTCCAATCTTCACTATAAAACAGAATATTAAATTAAAATTTTAAAACAAAAATAAAACTTAGGAATTATGATACTGTAAATATTGGATTGCAATGATTATGAATTAAAAATATATATATATATTAATTAACAATTGTCAATGTAGTTGGTTTTATTTAGAACTAAGGATAATTAAAAATTAATTTTGTTGAACTAAATTTATAGTTTTATTATTTGATTGAGACAATTTTAATTTTATTATTACATAGATGTTTATTTATTTTTTATTTTTATTTTAAACAAAATTTGGTTCAATCATACTGAACAAACTTAAATTAGTTTAGTTCAAATTTAAATTCAATGAGCTCTGTTTAGTAGCGTAACAGAGTCTTTTCATGCATTTTAATGAACCCATATATTTCTAATCCACCAAACTTCTCATAAGATTTATATGAACCAAATGTGATAATCCAACATATTATAAGAGAGTTCATTATCAACCCAAGTGTGGAATGCATAGGAAGAATCATTACCTTATACGGGGTAGATTTTTCAAATTATGAATATTCACAAGTTTTAAGCAAGTGCTCAATAATTTTATTTATCTCCCCATATATAGAGAAGAAATTATCTACTAAGATATCTTTTTTGCCTCAACTTGCACCAGATTGGGAGAACATCTCTACATAACCACCATAAAAAATGTTGTATGTTGTATAACATAAGGGTATGCCATATTTTTTTTTTTAAATGAGTGATATAGGCCTTCGAACGTGGTTGTCCGATACTTTGTTGTTTGGCTTGCATGCTAGATAATTTTCACAGTGTTATTTTCATCTTTAGAAAAACTCCAAAGTTATTTATCTAAAGGAAATTTTCTACTTAATAAAATACTTCAAATATTTTATATTTTAATTGAGTGAAAAACGTTTCACAAAACTGTTGCGTGTCAGTTCAGAATATAAGAATATATTATATCCAAAATGGTGATAAGATGGCTGTCATGTGATCATGGCAACCAAACTCGATTTCTAAACTTGTGAAGGCACCCATTTATAGTTCCAAATATGTATATTCTTATTATTTCCAACTTGCCACCACAAATCCTCTTGCAAGAAATTTCTTCTATTAGAATGTTTTTCCATGTATAACTTGGCATGTTGCTACTTGCGCTGATTGAAATCATCCCATCAAAAATATCTGGCCTTTAATAAATTTAACGAGAAAGAGCTTTGATTAGTAAGGAGTCGTGTATCTTGTTCACCTCATAAAGTTAGATTGAAGCTATGAAAATCTTGGAAACCCAACTACCTTCATCTTTGCTTGAACATAATTTTTCCTGGGAGATCTATTGAATTTTTCTTTTATCCACATTATCCCAATACCAAAATCTTGAGATTATCCTCTCTAACTAATCATAAATTAACTGTGGCAACCTATGGACACTCATGTAGTAAGTCGGGATTGCCTAGCCCATTGCTTTTAACATAATCTCTTTCCTAGCCCTTGAAATCTTGTTCATTTTTATCCCCTGCACTCTTTTAGTTACTCAATTTATAAACATAACAAAAATTTGAGCGAATCAGCGATTTACCCCAATTAGGAGTCCTAAATACTTATTATGTGTTATCACCAAATTGATTCTGAGTAGTTGTGTTGATGGTCCGTTAGTATCCAGATGTATTCCTTGACAAAATTTCAGGATTACCTCTGGATCATGAAATAAAATTTTCCATTGACCTACAACCAAGCACCCAACCAATTTTTATTGCTCTTTACAGACTAGTGAGAACTGAAATGGAAGAATTAAAGAAGTAATTAATAGAACTCCAAGAGAAATGATTCATTCACCCTAGTGTTTCTCTTTGGGGTGTTCGTGTAACATTTTCCAATTAGAAAGATGGAACCAAACAAATGTGTATTGATCGTAGACAATTAAACTGGGTCACCATCAAGAATAAATATCATTTGCCCATAATTGATGACCTATTTGACCAATTACAAGGGGTGCAGATCTTTTCCAAGATCGATTTACGATCCAGTTATCATCAAGTGAAGATTAAACCTGAAGATATTTCAAAGACCACCTTTAGAACCAGGTATGACCATTACGAATTCTTGGTCTTACCTTTTGGATTGATGAATGTCCCGGAAATATTTACAGACATGATAAATAGGATGTTTGAGCTTTATTAGATCAATTTGTTATTGTGTTCATTGACGATATATTTATTTACTCCAAAAGTCAAGAAAAACATGTTGAACACTTAAGACAAGTTCTGAAAACTCTTAGAAAAGAAAAGTTGTATGCAAAATGGAGTAAACGTGCATTCTGACTCGAATAGATCACTTTTTTGGGTCATGTAGTTTTTAAAGACAGAGTATTTGTAGATCTAGTAAAAGTTGAACCTATCATGGGATTGGAACATCCCACTACGGTGTTCCTCATATACTTACATGCTAACTTCTTAAGAAAAAAAATGTTTGGTTTTTAAAAATTAATGGCTCGACCTGAGCCCGTTTTTTATGCCTTCAGAATTTTTTCCAAGTAAATAACCTCATTATTCATAGTTTTTTTAAATATTAAGCTGTCATCCACAAACAATAAACGAGATATTGGAGGAGTTGTGTGGTAAATTTTCACACGATATTGTTTACCTTCATTCTCTACTCGCCTAAGTGTATCGGAAAAAACTTCTACAATAAAAAGATAATGTGATAGGGGATTTTCTTCGTAAACCCCCCTACTATGACAAAACACGGGTGAGGGTTTTCTATTTGGTGGTAAAAAATAAATGATGTGAAATTCGAAATCAATAACACAATTCAAAATCTTGCATATACATCAACAATCAGAAATTAAAAGTTTTAAATAAACCTTCAGTACACCACGAAACTTACTTATTTTCTATTGCAACAAACCAGTCAAAAACTCACTCACATACTCTTAAAAGCTCGTAAGCTTAAAATAAGATATCTGAATTTTATTAATAATTTGAATTGTAAATACAAAAAGAGATGTTGGCCTCTATTTATAAAGTTGATCATTCTTATTTGACTTAAATAAGAAAACAAGAATTCTAATAAAACTCTTAATTCTAATTTACATTAAAAAACAGAATTTAATTAAAACAAAATACAAACTTTTAATTAAATAATTGTTTTCTCCTTGGGTGGCTGAGACTCTCACTTGGACTCTTCATTTGGATCCCATTTTGCTCTTGAACTCTAATTTTTTTTCCTTTTGTTTTGCAGGTGGCAGATGGACAGATGTTCCTTGCAGAATTAAGAGTGAATCAGGACTGTAGAAGCCAGGTAGGCCCCTACCTCCCCTTGACTGACAGAAACTCTCCCATGTTGTGCGACCTCCTTCCTCTTCTCTCTTTTCAGTTTCTTCTTGTACTCTACTCCGACATTCTTCTTCTTCTTATACTGCAGCCACACAGAACTCTTCTTTCTTTAATGCAAACCAGAATAGAACCAGAAAATTTGAGGGTGACTTGCGGCAAGAAAAATCTTTCTTGGGGTTGATGTTTTCTTGCAGTAAAAATCTGTTTTCCCTTTGCTTCTTCATCTCGGTTTCCTTGCTGGTTGCTAGGATTAATTTTTCCATTTGTTTTGTCTCTGTTTCGCAGGTATCCAGAATCCAATTGAGAGCACTCAAGCCTCCCTAAAGAGTAAACACAGCTCGGGTTTCTTAATTTGGTGTAGTTCCTGCGCGAATGAGCAGGTATGCACCTCCATGCTCTTCTCAAGTCAGTACAAGATATGACCCGTGTTCTTCTTGTTTTCTTGGACCTGTTCTTGCAGCTTTTTGGGCTTCAAAGTCAATTTCTTGGGTGATCCAGCCTTGGACAAAAAGATTGAAAGCTTTTTGAATCATCTGGCGTGGGCTCGGGTAATAGGTCCCTCCGGGACTTGAATCTTTCTTCCCACTTCTCCCCAATTATCTTCTTGATCTTCCAGGTAAGCATCCTTCCTTGTGTCTCTTGTGTTCAGGTTTACATTAATAAGGCATTGATGTGACACATTCCATATCAAGGGAGAAAAATTCGCATCAAACCCTAATTTAACTAGCATATTCTCCAAAAACAAACATGCAACTTTATCTTATAGTGTGACGAATATTTGCCATAAATTCGTATTGACTCGCATAAAATGAAATAGCTTTAATGCAGTAAGTGCATTATCTATAACAAGATGACCATGAATAAAAGCATATTGGGAGGGGTGAACAATCTCATTTAGGAATTTTGAAAGAAAAAGTGTATATATATGTTAACATGGTACCAAACTAACTGGAGATATCGACTCTGTACAAAAATTTTATAATGTAGTTAGTGAGTCGATGACATATTTAAAATTTACTTCACTAATCGTGTCATGTCATGCTCTAACAATAAAAATTTAAAATAATACATTCAGCTATCTTTCAATTTATATAAATCAGTTGTTTTACCCTCAAAAGTTCTAGAATTTTCTTCTTTTAAAAGAATCCAAAATAAGGATAATGGGATGAGATTTTTCAAATTTCTTTCTAAATGAATCCCTTCCCAGGGCCCACAGTTCCTCCCTAATAGACCGAGCCATCACCCAGCTAATTCTAATAATATTATAAATAGCACTCCACAACCCAAAAGCCACCGGACACCTCAGCAGAACGTGTACACAGCTTTCCTCATTTTCCATACATAGATAGCATCGCTTGGGGATCTAGCTTTTAATTTGTCAATTATCAGAATACTCTCTCTAGTTGCTTCCTATGCAGAAAAAAGCAACTCTAGGAGGTACACCTTTGCCTTCAAAATCTGTCGTATAGGGAAATTTGAAATCACAACATTATTTCTACGTGTTAAGTGCTTATGGTAAGACTTTACAAAATATTCACCACTTTTATCCAACTTCCACTGCACCTTATCCTCCCAAAAGACATCTGTTGTTTAGCAAGTAAAAGTAGTTGATTCTCAAACTCTCCTGAGTTCCCAATCCTACAAGTTTCTTATAATATTGTACGCCACCATATTTTGTGCCTGAGACAGAAAAAATTCTGAGAAACCTCCTCATTAAACAAACATTATCTATTCAAATATCCTTCCATTTAGAATTAATTTCAAATGATTAGCAATACAAGTGATAGTTAATTTCATGATTACATCACACAAGTTAATAGACCTAAAGTCAGATGGTTCTTTTCGGTGTCTAATCTTAGGTATCAAAGTTATGAATGTATTAATCATATTTCCCAAAACCCAAGAAGTTTAAAATAAAGTATATAACATCATCTTTAATTATACGACATAATTTCTTAAAAGAAAATATAGGAGACATATCATTAGGTCTAGGTGCCTTCGTCGGGTGCATCTGTTCAGGGTCATGAGCATGACAGCTCCTATGCAAGGTTCAAGCAAACATTTTATTCATCTCCTGGGTGACTAGTCTTTCCACACCCTCCAGAAGTGTCATTTCCAGATCTTACTCTGCTTGAAAAACATTTAAGAAATGTATATAAAAGAAAATTCTCCATTTGGTCTTGCTCCGAGATCCAAACCCCTAATAGTGTTTTAATACGTGAGAACTTATTTATTCTCCATCATGTTGCCTTGACATGAAAAAAACGACTATTTCTATCACCATATTCAAACCAATTGTTAATGTACTAAAACTTTTATTCTTGGTACACATTTATGTTAAAGTGCATGTTTGTTTAAATAGGTACATAAATTCTAAGATATATGTAGGTACATGATTAAGGTGCATATAGGTGCATGAATTTAACGTGCATGTAAGTATATTTACGTATTATCTATCATATGCATGTATCTTCTTTCCTATATAAGTTCCTTTTACATTTATGAGAGTATGTACGTCATCTTGAGAACGTGAAGATATGAAAATACCACCATTAGTACTTATTAAACAATCATCAATATGAGATAAAACTAAATTCTCTGACTTGTTTTGGGTATGAGAAACAAATGAGAATACATGTAATACAAAAAACACATCTCAGGAAACAAATATTTTTTGAGATGTGAGGTCATACAGTCTGAAGGCTATGATGTGAGAAGGGTAGCCAAGAAATACATTTGACAGCCTGAGGATCAAATTTGGACCAATTGACATTATTTGTGGATGCATAGCACAAAATGCCAAATACTTTTAGATGATTGAGTTTTGGTGTAGGATTGGATAAGATTTCATAAGAGGTTTAGTTGTTGATGACAGGTGAAGGTATCCGGTTAATGAGATATATTGCTTATAATACAGTCTGCCCAAAACTTAAGTGGCAGATTGGCTTGAAACTACAGAGACCTTACTACAGTCATTATGTGTTGATGTTTCCTATCCACCACATTGTTTTCTTGCGGTGTGTAGAGTCAAGAATTTTGATGAAGAGTCCCCTTTTCTGCATAAAATTTTGGTATGCTTAAACTCTTTACCATTATCAGATCTAATACATTTTATCTTTTGCCTGAACTAAGTTTCTACATATGAAAAGAAATTGATAATAATCTTGCATACCTCAACTTTTGATTTCATAGGAAATAACCAGGTATACCGACTCCTGTCATCAAAAATGGTTAAGGGGTAATGATGTCCATATAGGGGTGCAATAGAAAATGGGTCCCAAATGTTAAGATGTACTAAATCAAAGTTGTTCTGACGTATTGAATTACCTATTGGAAAAGACAAACATTGTTGTTTTGCAAAATGACAAGTATCACATGTAGTTGAAAAATAAGGGATAATAACTATCAAGTTTGTGCAACATTAGTAATCTTTGGTAAAAATGGGTGGCCAAAACGAAAGTGTCATAATGTTTGGCTATTAACAATTGTCAGAATGAACAACAGAATCTTGTTTAACATTGAACTAACAGTTGAAATTTTTTTATCCCTTGAAGCTTGGAGATGATATAGCTCATGTATCTGTTTAGCTGAACCAATCAGCTTCGAGCTTTGAATTTCCTGAATCAGACAACAATTTTATTGAATATTAAGCAGTAAGTAGAAATATGTAACAAACGGCTAACAGAGATAAGATTCAATGAAAATTGAGGAACATAAAGGGCATTATGCAATATAAGGTTTGATGTGAGATGTACATCACCAATATGAGTAATATGCACTATCTGGAAATTAGATAATTTTGTAGACAGGTTTCTGATTAATCTATAAGAATCAAACAGCTCAAGGGCATATGGTATGTTGCCCCTGAATCTATAATCCAATCATCTACATTATTTGCAGGTACTTTAAAAGGGGACGAAAGGGTATTACCTTGTTATGTTGAAGACTGGAAGTGTTCTGTGAGATTGTTGACTCTTGGTAAGTTTCTAATGTTTTCTGTTGGATTAATGTCTGATGAAGTAGGCTGAATCAGAGTAAGAATTTTATTGTACTGCTCCTTGGTGAATGAAAAAGGCAAGCTTCTGACATGTTGCATTGGCTTCAAATTTTGTACGGGAATCTCCACTATTACTACTTCTGTCTATTTGTAAATCAGATGCATAAGTGTTGACTTGGTTAGCATTTGAATTATTCTTTGATCTGGGTTTTTAGCCTGGCGGATAGCCTTGCTTCTTCTAGCACCTATCGACAGTGTGCCCCAATAATCCACAATGTGTACAGGTTGCTCTGCTATTGTCCCCAATCCCAGAAACTTTCCTTGTATTATTATTAGAGGAGTTGTATGTAGAGTTGTTGTATGTCTTTCCACTCCTAGGTGTCTGTACATTACCTCCTCTGTTTGTATACAGTATGCTTGTCTCATACTGTCGTGCAGGTACTCTTATGTTTATGCTTCTCTCATGCTGGATTACTAAGGCAAACACTTCATTGATATTCGGTAAGGGTTCCATTAGAAGTATCTGTGCCTTCACTAAGCTAAATGTTTCATTCAGGCCTTTCAAGAATCTAATGACCTGGTCTTGTTCCTGATATTTTCGTATCACAGAAATAACAATACATCTTCATCCCCAAATAATTTTCAGCTTTGTAAATATTCGGTAACTGAAGACGTACCTTGCTTCAGAGAATACAGCTCTTCTTGGAGGTCAGAAATTCTGACTGTATCCCCTAGAGTGGATCTTTCATGCAGATCTTTCCAAAGATCCTTCGCGTGATCTATCAACAACACACTTTGGGCAATCGATGGTGATAAGGACCTGATTATCCAACACAGTACCATTGCATTGCACCGCTTCCATGATCCATACATCGGATCATCTTTGGACGGACTCTGTATGGATCCGTCAACAAACTTCAGTTTGTCCTTTGATATTAGGGCCATTCTCATTGCCCTTGACCAGGAGTGGAAATTGACTCCGGGGAGAACGGTGGATGTAAGTTGGAGAGCTGGACTCTCGTCTGGATGTAGGTAAAAAGGATTGGACAGAAACTCTTCCAGTTTTGACGAATCAAATGCGGCCATCGTACTATCCATGTAAATCAGGGAATAAAGAAAAATATTCTTCTTCTTTACCTTCTGTGATTTTCTAGATTAGGATCGATCCAGAACGAAGCGGATGACCGAACCTAGGGCTTCTTCTCTTGACCGATAGTGAAGAAATCTTCTTGATTTTACTGATTATTTGCGCTCTGAAGCCATATCAGACGGCTTCGCTTACAGGATCTACAAGAAATTTCTACAGATCTTTAAGACTTGAGATCAGATTAAACTGGAATGAGACAGATGAAGGAACTTTCGAGAGAGAGAGAGAGAGAGAAAACGCAGGCGGGAAATTGGGAAAAATGAAAAAGCATATTTCACTAATGCGACGTCGGTATTTATACAGAAAGTTTAATTAGTGCTAATTACAAAATTTGATTAGCTACTAATAATAATTAAGCTAATTTAGTTACTGTTAACTTTGACTTGCTTTTGACCGGGTTCTGACTTGTTCAGTCCCTTCCTCTATTACCCTTCTTCAAGTCCGTCAACAGATTCCCCTGAAAGCTGTCGTCATCTTGTCCCTTTACGTCGTCGCTTCCTATTCTCTATCTTTAGGGAGAGTTAAAACCTTAATATATATAAATATAAGGAGGAAAGTATATACAAAGAGAGGGACAGGGAACACTACAAATATATATATATATATATGCCATATGTATAATATTAGTTCCCCAACTGTACACGTTTATTTATCATGGCTTATAACTAAATGGATCATATTTCTCCTTGACCTTGCCTATGATATAGAATTCACTAACCAGAATCAACTAAAGATAGAGACGACAAAAGACTAGTAAATGGAAGAGGAGACAACAGTGTGTCTGGAGATGACGACGTGCATACATAAATATATACATGAATATTATGTATATGGCATGAGAAAGAAGCAAGAAAGAAATGAGTGAAGTGAGAGAGAGAAAAAAGAGAAAGAAGAGGAGAAAGAAAGTAGTGGAAGAGAGGGAAACATATAGAGAGGAGGAGAGAGATGAGGAAGAAGAGAAGGAAGAGCGAGGCGTAAAAGGGAAGGTATTTATAGTTTTTCAGACAAGTTCATATGTGTTTATCCATCACAATCCTACATGACATGTGCGTGAAAAAGTATCTAATCAAATTATGCCACGTCCACAAACGTTGAGGATGTAAGCATGCATTCGCAAGGGGACTAATTTGTACATATTTTTAAAGGATGAGAAGTAGTTTGACATAAAAGATGAATAAAGACCAAATTGAATAAAAAAAATAGAACATAGATCAAAAATACATTTAAGCCATTATTTTTACAAATACATAAATATTGTGAAACGAGGTTTGAGCAACAGCATTGATGGGTATAAAAAATTTTGTACAATTCGTCTGTTTCAACTTGTAAGGATCCAGAATTAGAAAAAAAATAAATTTATAAAGTTAATGCGAAAGCGATTAATAGAGTTAGCATTTACATTACTTATATAATAATTTAAAATGTTCAATAGAATTACGAAATTATACATTTTAAAAGATAAACGGTAATTAAAAAAATGAAACAAAAAACAAATAACTAAACATCATATTATAATCTTCACTAGTACTTGAATGGAGTTTATATAGTAAACTACTCTCAAACCTCTTACTGATCGGGATTTTGATCTTAGTTCTCTTAATCTAAAATAGTTAATAAAATAGTGAGTTATACTAATTCAGTAAAAATATCACGCTAATCACAGATACTAAAAACTGAAGATTAATAAAAATTATAAAACAACTAATGGAACACTTAATTTGAGTAAATTTATTTAATATAACGAAAATCATTTATTCCGAACTTACCGTAATGAGTTTTTTAAAACAACCTATGAATACCCATATCCATATTGTTTTTTACTTTCACACATAAAAGAACAAAAAATAATAAATTTCCTTTTTTACCTGCTACTGGTACCCTAGGGGGGTACATAAAGGTGTTTTCCCTATTCGTGAACCCAATAATCAATTTTAATAATTAACCGGTTGTCCCTATACCATGTCCGAAAATAGACACCAAACATTCTATCGCCTCAATACCCCGTTTGGTATGAGGGTAAATTATATCTCCCAAACCTTTCCGGTAAAGGATTTCTCAACTCTGTCCGACTAAAGTAACATTCATGGTAGGGTTCCCTATGTACAGGGGTCATCTGCCTTTTTTGTAGGTACCTAGTAAGTCTTTCACATACAAATTTTCATCAATAAACAACTAACAACGCATATCAATATCTCATATCATATTCACATATTAATTGAACTACATTCATAATGGCGGTATATAACCAAAATAACCAAATAAGTCGATAAAACCATTGAAGCTATAAAATAAAAACATGTACTATACGAAAATCAAGCAAGTATAACAGTACAGGAAAATAAACAGGAAATCAAGATAATTGTGAACTAATCGGTTTCGGTTCCACTAGTGACCTGTAATTATTTTTTGAATTTTCTAAATTTTTACAAAATATAAAACCATACATCGTTAAGCCTCAATTTATCGTAACAGAGAATAGGGTGAAGGATCTTTACCTGGATCGGCGTTTTAAGATGTTGAGCTTTCTACTACGCATCTTAACGAGTACCAGGTTCCCTGAATTTTTCATGTGAAATTCAAAACACTCGTCACACATCTAAAAATACTCCATAAATCTAAAATCGGTGTCTAAAACTCATTTTCGCCAATTTTTTATGTTCGACATAGTGCGCACCGTGCTTCAACACCAAACTCCGCCACATGCTCCGCACTAGCTCCACTGCCCACGGTGGTGGTTTGCCTCGACCTAGCCAATTTTTAACCGGTTTTAACTGGTTTTGGTTATATTCCTGCAAAAAAAAATACATTAGGGCCCTAGTTGGCTGAAAAATCTAAAAAATAACCGAACCTACTAGTAGGGGGACTTTCGGGTGTGGCAACTCCGTTGGTCCTCCTTTGCGGTTGAGGTTCTGTCTTCAGCTACCTTGCACAGAAAATGACGGTGAGCACAATGATCAAAAAATCACATGAAATGAGAATCGAAAAGGGACTCATTTGAGGAAATTTGGGATTTTAGCCGCAGCAGCTCTATCGGGCTTTACCTGCAGTTTCTGACTCAACCGTAATTCTTCTTGCTCTGATTTAGTCACATGGGTATTCAAAATCGAATTTCGAACATATAATAGAAAATTTTACCTTTTTTGGCAGTCAGCGGTGGCTCTAGTGCTGCGACGGTGGCTCTAGTGTGGAGGCGGTCGGCGATCGACCTCCTTTTCCAACGTCTGGTTCTTCTCCGGTGGGGGCTGGCGGCTAGGGTTTTGATTTTCATGTGATGTGTTGATCTGGAGCGTTCATCGTGATCGATCTCATCCGTCTGATCGTGCTTAAGGAAGAAACGAATCTGAACCGTTCATGACGATTAATCTCAACTGTCTGATCGTGCCTAAAGTGGAAACGAATCCAAACTGTCAACGCCTGCGAGACTGATCTTGAGCCATCCGATCGTGGGGCACCCGAAATGCCAACATGGCCTCCTGCGTGGCACTAACGTCAGTGCGCCTTGTCACGCGACGCACTCCGGTTCGTCAAGGCTACTAACTAAGCAGTCCTATGTGGTTGAATTTTTTCTATTTGCAGTTTGACCTCCTATTTTTAATTTGTCTTTCAAAAACACCCTCCGAACTTAAATTTTCACCTATTCTTTTCAAAATTATTTTCAATTTCGTCCCTAATTTATTTTTTCTCAAAAATTCAATCAAATTAAAATAAAATAAATTTTTTTAATTATTTATATATATTTCATAATCATTAAAATTATCCCACGCTAATTTTTGGGCCCATATGTTACAACTCTCCCCCTCTTAAAAGAAATTTGATCCATCAAATTTGTTGCCTTTTTACTAGTCAAATAGCTGGGGATACTAGGCCCTGAAGCTTGATTCTCGTTCCCAAGTGGCCTCTTCCTGCATATGGTTTTGCCATAGGACCTTGATGAATGAAATTTCTCGGTTGCGGAGTACTCTACTCTTTTGGTCTACAATGTCTACTGGTACCTCTTCATATGATAGATCCTTTTAGAGTAAAAGGGGCTCGTGGGACAGGATGTATGAGGGGTCTAGGTTGTACTTGCGTAGCATAGATACGTAGAACACATT